CACACACACACACACACACACACACACACACACACACAGTGTCTGTTTTCTGTCTGACATCATCATTGTGTTTTTTTAACCTGTTTCCCTCTGATTATTGTCAAGTTGTAATATTTTGTCAATAACATAATAGCGTGGATGGAGCTTCAGTTTTATATCTGTCAAACACTTTGAGTTTGTTTTGTGGCTGAACTTTTATATTTACACTTTTCACAGTAACTGTTGTTGAACACGTGTGTGCTGAAGCTGCTGCTTTGTTTCAGATGGTCTTCAACGTAGTTTATCCCATGGCTCCAGACCAGAGGCGCCATGTCAGCATCAACTCGGCTCGCTGGCTGCCGGATCCTGGGATGGGTCTGGCTTATGGAACAAATAAGGGAGACTTGGTGATCTGCCGACCAGTGTGAGTGTCCACCAGCGTCAGGATGGAAACCAGAAACCATTAGTCCTTCATGCTGCTACAGGAAGACGAGTTTCACTTCACACTGATGATTGATTTACAGACTGTAAATAAAGTTGGACGACATGATGGTTCCTACAAATGAAGGCTGGCTGCAGTATAGGTTATAAACCCCACCTCCTCCATGTTAACACATGGGACATGGACCAAACCAAAAAAATTTAACTTTTCTCAAAGACTATGGTTACCATCGATCTCTGTAGGCTGAAAGATAACGTGGTGTGACCAAGGTTATTCTCTAATTCTATGACTCCGATGTTCCTTCATAGCTGTCGTACTCGACGTAGGATTTAAATTTGATTCATTATGGTCTTCAGGTCGTACATTGAAACCTGCAGGAACCTTTGAGACAAAGAATGAAGTGTAAGTTCTAACTTTATGTTAAATCATCCTCCTGGCTTGTTGGTTTTCCCTCTGAGCTTCCTCCTCCACAGCGAGAAGTCACCTGATGTGATTATCTTAATGCTCAGTCTGAACAGGAAGAACATTAACTGTGAGCTCAATAAATGAGTTTAATGAGGTCATGGTCCTTGTGATTCCACGAAGAAATCCCTCCTCTGCTTTTAAGACTTCCTGAATGGAAGTGAATTAACGAGTGGCACGTGTGTGTGTGTGTGTGTTTAGGTTCTATCGCAGCGATGGTGAGGGTCCCGGAGAGTCGAGCAGTGAACCTTTATTCTCTGTCAACAACAGTGGAACGAGCAGAACCCGAGGCTCTGACAGACCGGGGTGAGAACAGGACGAATCACACGCTTTCTCATGTTTCAGTTGTTTTGTCAAAATAAAACCTTGCTGAAACTCGACTAAACTGATTAAACTAAAACGTTTTATTGGTAGTTAACAGTTGTGAAAGATTTCACGATCAACATGTTAACTCACTTTATTTACGATGTCAGAACTTTATCTAATGCAGCTCTCCGTGTTCATGCTGGTGTTAAAGAAACTCACTAGGATCAGGCAGGAAAATCTCCTCTGGCTCCATCTACAGGTCGTAATGCAATTTGGAAGTATTTAACACTCCCATTTCTAAAAGGCCAATCAGAACCAGACCGAGTGCCTGAGTGTCAATCACAGCTCCTGCACAATTAGCAGAGCCAGCAGCAGCTCAGTCAGGCTAATGTTAGCTTGTCTGTGAGCATCGTGCTGCTCTTCTTGTTTTCTACATGAGTAAGCCACATTTCTACTTCACATGCTATCAGCCCAGCTAGCTGCACCTCTCATGTTATGTGATGAAGCAGTCAGGCTAACATTTGCTAGTGTTTTCCATTATAACTATAATTACGTTTATGAAATTGCGTCGTTGTGAAAGTCGTTTCTTCTGGCCGCCTGTGTTTCTATGGTTACTATCATGCACTGTTGAGAAGGGAGGGGTTTCAGAGATCTTCAGCAGAAATTAAGGGCGGGGCCTGGAAGTGTAATCTGATGTATCTTCCTAATGCAGCTTTTATAATGAATACTCGTGAAGGACGGTGTTGTGGTTTCATCAGGCACCATCATCACATCAGCGCAGACACGTGTTGTAAAATATATTGTGAAGAGTCTGTGGCTCCGCTGTATTAGTTACCATGGTCACTCCCGTCATACTCTAAAGTGCAAACACAAACTGAGACTAAACCATGACGCTGACATTCTCTTCCTGATTGGTTCTTATCAGTGCGGACTCATCCTGCTGATTCATCCATAACTTAACATGGATAATAAATTACTGACCTTGGTGTGTGTTGGCATCTGTTGTGCAGTTAAATTTATTATTTTGTGAAGCTATGACTGCTGAGGTGTGCAGACGGAGGGTTGTTATTTAATCTCTAATTGGTTTCCTCTGTTTTCAGGCCTAATCGTTCTGGCTGGAGGCTGGACAGAGACATGGGTTTGATGAACGCGATTGGTCTTCAGCCCCGACATCCCACGCCATCAGTGACATCACAAGGAACCCAGACGCCAATCGTCCAGCTGCAGAACGCTGAGACACAAACAGAGAGGGACCTATCAGAGCCCAGCGTCTCCCAGCCACCACCTAGTACTGAAGCACTTACATAACAATGACACCCTCTCATATTTAATGATATTGTTATATTAATCTTCCAGACAGTGATGCAAACAGTTTTCATCACTGTGTAATTAAAGAACCAACGAGGATTCTAACATGAACTGTAGTAGCCTGAAGTGCATCATTCCTTATTTCTCCGTTTCACCCGGAACTACCTGAGCTCAATCAGAGGAGGAGATAAAACATCTAATGTTTTTAACCTCTACCATTTGTTGACTGCAGTGAAGCTGTCAATATAAAAAAAATGCACACTACTAAGTAGGTCATGATCCTCTGCTTCCACCAACACTAAGGCACCGACTGGTGAAACTTAGACTCTGCGTCCTGGAAGTGAGACCGAATGTTGAAAACCTGTCTTGTGTGTAATGACCAGCAGAGGGCGACTCCTCTGGTAGTTTCTATAGAAAATGTCTCTACTTACTCACTTTAGAACGTCAGTAAACATTGTCCTCAGGAGTTTATGTCTCAGTCTGTGATTATTCTGACAAAATGAATCTGCCACATTTTGATCATCCTTTTCAATCCCTCTAAAAATGACAACATATGTGACTGACTGGTTTATCGTGGAAGACGTTTTTTTAAGGATCCTTGAATTTTTCGTCCTCGTCTCCTCAGATGCCTCAGCAGAGACTCCCTCCACAAGTGGAGCGTCCCAGCAGCAGCAGCAGGAGGCGTCTCAGAGCAGCAGCGTTCCGGACGACGTCCAGACTGAAGCTTCATCCGATGCCAACGCGTCCACAGCTGCTGGTACGTCACAGTTTGACTCTGAGTAACAGGTTGTACTTGAAAATGAGTTTGGTTCATCTTTCTTGTAAAAGTCTGGATTTTATTACACAATGTTTCTGTTTCTATTGGAAGTAAATATTGATGACAGAGGCTCGTATCTTTTCAGGCTGGAATATTGATCACTGATAGTCTGACAGGTTCTTGTTGTCTGGAGACTCGTTTGTCACTTTTCTCTGGTTCAACCTGATAAAGTCTCAGCTGCAGATCAGGTTCATGGTTCCACTGATGACGGTTAATCTATTTATTTCTCTTCTCAGTTCTGCTGTCGTTTCCAGATGCTCCAACACAAGTTGTTTTTGATAATCAGTTTGAGTGTTTGTAAACTGATGAAGTCTTTGCCTCGTGCCGCAGCTCAGTCCAACCTCAGAGGAAAGTTTGGATACAAAAGATTGTGACGGTTGTACAGATGTGTCATGAAACGACAGATGTTTGTGTGTTTCTTGTGTGAGTAAGTCCTGTTGTGTCACGCTCTCTTTGCAGATTCCCCAGAGTTCGGTTCAGGTGAAGACGCTCTGGCTCGAATCCGCCGGCTGATTGCAGAAGGTGGTATGACGGCGGTGGTCCAGCGGGAGCAGAGCACCACCATGGCCTCCATGGGTGGCTTTGGAAACAATATCATTGTCAGCCATCGAATCCACCGCAGCTCCCAGACAGGCACCGGGGCCTCCAGACCTCAAGCCGAGCCCACCCTTACGGCCCCTTCCTCCTCCTCAGGACCTCTCCTCATCACACAGAACCAGTCTTACCTTCCTCCCCAAGCCTCCGCCCCATCTGAACAACTGGCTCCCATGTGGGGCCCCCAGGTGCTGTCTGGCCCCCAGCCCTCCGGCCTCTCTCTAGCTGTAGACATGGACGATGTATTTGACGGAGGACGAGCGGACGACAACTCCCTGCCGGGTCCTTCCTCTTCCTCGCTGCTGCTGACTTCCCCTTCTTCGTCCTCCTCCTCCACCTCTCACAGTCCCCTGCCCAGCGGTGGCGGGGGGTGTGGCCCCAATAGTTACCCAGGTGACCCGTACAGCAGGTAGTTCTCCTATTGGCCAAGAGAAGCAGAGCGTTGGTTGATGGATTTCGTTAATGGCGCTCCTCAAAGCCTTATCTCACAAAGAAAAGGGTGCTGCTTCGACTCTGCACAGGGTCTCCCGCCTGAAAAAGAAAGGGGTCTCCCGCCTGGAAAAGAAGGGACACAAGAACCCCACCTCACCCAAAACCCGCCACGGCGTTGGCGTGCACTTAGAAAAACTGGACTGAAGCTGAACCGCGACCATTCCTCGTCAGAAAGGGCTCCTACTTGAACAGTTAGCGCTGAGCTCCTCTCTGCTTGTTTGTTTAAAGTGTCAGCGCGACGGGAGAAAAGGTTCCTGTGTCAAAGTGCCGTGGGGGGGGGGGGGGTCTTTCTTTTACACATTTACTCCGATGTGCTGCATAGTAGTAAATATAAATGCGTGATTGAAGTGTTAACAGTGAATTCAGCACTACTTTATCTTGAAGCCTGTTTTGTACCGTGTGTAATCATGATGTGTCGGAGGCGGGACTCTGCTCCTCGGACGTCACTGATCAATCACACAATCCATCAATCATCAATGACTGACACCTGGGACTCAGAGACCTGAAGCTACCGGACGTCTGTTCAACGACGCTGCAGTTTATCAAATACATAGGTTGTTTTTTCAAAAGGCTGAAGAGGAGAAGGAACCCCCACCCCTCCCCTCCCCTCCCCCCTCAATACCTACCAGCCAAGTTAAATGCACTATAGGTGCGTGTGTGTTTGTGTGTCAGTGCTTTTCACACATCTTTAAAAAATAATTTTACTTCAAAATTATGGTTTCTGCAAAACTTTCTGGAACTCGAAATCACTGCATTCGTCCTGGCTCCTGATTGGCTGTCTCATCTTTACCGTAGACTGTAAATAAAGATGACAGCGATTCTTCACTTCCACAGAAATGAAGCTAAAGTCACTCACGAACCTCTGTGTGATGGTGGGCTGGAGCTTTGGTCCCGTCCATACACGCTCTCGACCAATCAGAGTCAGCTGTCAATCATGACGTCTCAGCCTGTTTTCATTTCATCAAATAACAAAACCTGAAAAGACAGAAACCAACATGGAGGAGGTCTATAACCTTTACTGCAGCCAGCCACCAGGGGGTGGTCCAGATGATTTGGCTTCAGTTTTGGGAGCTGTCATGTCGTCCGTCTGTAGTTGCAGTATGTGGTTGTTTCTGGTGGGGTTGTATCGCCACCTGTTGGTTTGATGTGCTCTCTGCAGTTGTTCACAGCTCATTTTTAATGTTTGACACCAGTGAACGTGTGGACGCTGGCGTAATGTGAACGTTATGTTTCATTCTTTTCTTCTCAGCACGAGATGAAAACACATTTATTTAAATCAACAGTAGAAATATATAAAAACCACGATGACGTTCGACATGAACGTGACGCTGAAGTGATTCTCATCAGACCAGCGGCTGTCTGGGTCAATGGGGAACAGCTTCTGTGATCACATGTCACATGTTTGATTCCCGTCACGTTTGATTCCTTGTGTTCGCGTGTCTGGTAAAAACATGAAGCTACGGAGGATCTGATCTGTTTGGATTAGAGCAGCCAATGAATGTGCGTCACTCCTTCTTTTGCAGAGTCGACAATAACAAGCTGTAGAAATTCTGATGTCAGTTTAATAACGAGATAAACCAGAGAACCTGAATTTAAAAAACCTCCCACTCACATAAAGTTTCAGATAAAAACACGAACAAGAGGAAGTGGGCACTAATTTCAGCAGCGGATTGATTCGTATGTTCTGCAGTCGTGAGTCACTGTTTGCACAGGCAGGAGACACGTGCACGATCCCTCTGTGACTCAGCTGTCGTCGTCCACCACAGGAAACTTCTTCTGTAACGTGAAGCGTCAGAACGTCACCTGTTCCTTACGTTCTACGTTCTGCTGCTGAGTTTTAGAACGAGAACATTGGTGTCAAACGTTACTCAGAAGGTGACGGCGTCACGTCATTGTGCTTACGCTCAGTTGTCTCAGAGGTCGTCTGACACTGAGTCCAGATCAGCTCAGGACAGCCATGATGTCACTTCCTGTATTGGCTCGTCAGCAGCCGTAGTTAAACTTGAACAATAATTATTCAGGTTCATTTCCTGTCTTTAAACCAGAGTTCGGTCTTTCAGTTTGAGATCAGGACGTTCAGAAGCTTTCACTCTAAAACCTTCGCTCACACTCGGACGGACTCGGACATGTTGCTCAACTTTTATTGGTTTTGGATGAAAACACGTCTGAACGTCTCAATCTGAAAATCCAAGCAAGAAAGAAAAACAACATCACGCTCAACTTGGTTTTAATCTGCTGTTCCACTGTGGCCTTATGGGAAATGATAAAGGTCAAACATGGCTGCGCTGCTTATTCCTGGTGATAATTTACTGAACGTTACTAAAAACATTTCGTCGACCTTTTTAACTTTCTGTCGGTGAACAGGCCTCTGCCCCCCCCCAACCCCGCCCCTCTGCATGCAGAAAAAACTTGAATTTGATCAACTCAACTTTTCCTCTTCAGCCTGAGAGACTGTACAGACGCTATTTTTTACTTTGTATTCTTACTCCACGTCACACGGCGCAGTGTAGACGCTGATGTGCTGCTCGTGTTGTGTATGTGTGTGTGAGGGGGGGTGATGGACCTATGAAGAGGAAGGAGAGCTCTGATTGGAGCAGAGACACTGTGGGATTCAAGGGGTCGTTTACGTGAGATTTTTTTATTGAACCTTTATTTCCTGCAGGTGAGTCCAGGTGAGATCAGAGATCTCGTTTCCAGGGCGACCTGCGGAGGAAGCGGCTGCATGTGACGAGCAGGTGACACAGAAACAACTGATCTGAATGATCCTGAATTTACTTGATCAATGAACCTTTTAAAAACAACCTGTCGTCTTCTCTCTCTCTGTGTGTGTGTGTGTGTTTCAGCTCTCGTCACAGTTTCTTCACTAAAACATTCTTGATAAAAATGTGTGTGAAAAAAATCTGGTTCACTTTGGTTTTAAAATCTTCAAACATCCGAACTTTTATCAAACTGATGTAAAAACACTCAGGTCGTCATTTCAATTCTAAACTAATAAACAGTTCATCAGGGAAATTAGTATTTTAGTTCTTTGTTCATCATTTGGTTCTGAAACTGAACAGATTTCAAATTGAGTTACAAGGTGAAGGAAGATGATCAGAGCCACGTGGAACTAAACCTAATGTAGATATCGGACCTCTGCTGCGACAGCGCGTGGTCAGAGGCTTCTCTTAACTCTCCGTCCATCTTCTCTTCTTTCGAAGGAGGTGCTTCACATTTTAGTTAAAAATTACCTGATTAGATTGTGGCTGAAGGTCAAAGGTCACAATGACCTCACAGGTCTGGAAATAAATGTATGGAGACTGAACCTGCTCTGATTGGTGGAGACACACAACCACCTGGAGGTGAAAGAGCTCAACAAGAAAGAATCATTTATTTTCTGTAGAGATTTGAATTAATGAGTATGTTTGAACAATCCGAGGGAGACTCAGCTCAAGCTATCGAATGTTTCATTCTCCTGTAGAAGACAAGTCTGAGATCAGAGATGTTTTATTCACCCTAAACTCATGGCCACAATCAGATCGCTCAGTTTTACGTCACTTCACATGATGCGAGACACTGTTACACA